GCAGGACAGGAATAAAGATGTAGATGTAGAGAATGGACTTGAGGATATGGGGAGGGGGAAGGGTAAGGTGGGATGAAGTGAGAGAGTGGCATGGACATATATACACTACCATATATAAAATAGATAGCTAGTGGGAAGCAGCTGCATAGCACAGGGAGATCAGCTCGGTGCTTTGTGACCACCTAGAGGGGTGGGATAGGGAGGGAGGGAAGGAGACGCAAGAGGGAGGGGATATGGGGATATATGTATACGTATAGCTGATTCACTGTTATACAGCAGCAACAAATACAACAATGTAAAGCAATTATACTCCAATAAAGATGCTTAAAAAAAAAAAAAGAAAGAAACAGAGCTGTGTATCCAGATGCAATTTAGTATGTATTAAAGTTGTATTTCAAATTAGTGGTAAAAGTGGAAAAGGATGGTTATTGAATAAATGATGGTGGAATAAGTGCACATGGTTATCCATTTGGGGCCCAACCTCATGAATAAACAAAAATAAGTTATCTATATATGATATGTTAATACATAATATAAATTGGGAAGACCTTCTTTAATAATGTAACAGTATCAAAAATTCATAACAGAAAGGACTGAAAGATTTGGCAATATAAGTGTCAAAGGTTTGTAGAACAAACGAGTTACAAAGTTAACTGACTTCACAATTCCATTTTATGTAAAGCACAAAAAGAGCAAAACCAATCTATGTTGCTGGAAGCAAAAGAGTAGCTGTTACCTTGACTGGGGGTGGGGAGGGCAAGCGCTAGTAATTAGAAAGGAACTCGGCAAGTAGGAGACAGACTTCAGGGTCCTGGTAGTTTCTTTAACGTTATGTTTCTTGATGTGGATGCTGATTACACAAGAATGGTTCAGCTTGTAAACTTTCAGAGGGTTTACACTTACGATATGAGTACTTTTCTGTGGTAAATTTAAAGATGGGAATAGCATGAGGGAATAGTGAGAGAGGAGGATAGAGGAGATCAAGGTAAATTTTTACTTTTGATTATATGTATTTTATATATTTATCCAAAAAGCATGTATCATCTGCATAATTTATTTTTTTAAAAAATAAAAAAAGCCTATATATATGACAGATAACATTTAAGGCTTATGATTTAAGTGCAATCAAGACAATTCTATAGGGCATACTCTACCTGTGAATCTAATATGTTGGAAATTTCATGTGCACCAACATTTGCTTCACCCAAATGCAAGGAAAACAAGTTTCTGGCAACCTGAACAAAATCTAAAATAGAACACATTTCAGTAAGAATACAGCATTTAACCTCATCTAAGCAAACCTTACCTTTTTCTACATGAAGCTGAAGCTATGTGTTATAACTAATGCTTACAATTTAACTTACTTAAATTACCTTAAAATAGTGTTAACTGAAGTGACAGATAAATTTAAGTTCACATAAGAAGTAAGAGATAAACTGGTTTTCACTCATTTCATTTAACTTTGCTGAAGTTAATAAATCAGATACGATAATGAAGCAAATAAATGTCACAGGCATAACTCTCTCTCCAACTCTTTTATTATGAATAGCACTTTTTCTAAAACATATGATAATATTATGATTTACAGCTTTTCTAGCCGAAAGAACCTGTGGTTTAATAATGATAATAATAATAGCAGGAAATGTTTCTATAACAGACTCTATATGCTACGCATGGCCCTTTGCGATTTCATCTTGAGAATTTCCTGCGGTAGTTCTTCTCATCCTCTCCATTTTACAGTCTGGGCTAAGATAAGTTAACTGTCTTAAACCTCCCAAGGCTACTTGGCAAATAAGTAGCAGAGCAAGATTCCATTGAAGTGTGACTCGAGGCATATTCTGTTGTTTGTTATATAACACTGCCTGATGCCAACCTAGCAAACTATATGCTTCTTCAGACATGGAGTGTGACCTGTTCATCCATCTAACTTCAATTTTTTTAAAAATTTGATTCTTATATTTTTAGTTTCCAGTAATCCTTTTAATTGTTCCTATTTTACAGTACCCTACTCTTATTGCGTGGATGCCTTAGTTTTGCTTATCTTTTTAAAAGATGCTAATTATGGTTTACGTGAAGTTCTTTTTTGCTCTTGTAATATTTCCCTTTTTCTGAGTTCCTCTTTTTCTATTTGTCTGATACTTTGGGGCTTTATATTTTATGTTGGAGGATTTCTCCAAATGTCTGGTGTTCATATTTAAGACGAATCAGGCACTAAATCGTTAATTGGAAATTTTGTGTGCATAACTCGCTTTGTCAATTAGTAAGTTTTACTACAGAGCAATAACGTGGTCAGCTATTATGATACTTTGTTCAGGTTCTTCAGAGAGAATCTTACAACCTCTTGCCTACAGAGCATACACATGGTTGCAAATATCACTGAGTAATCTGTGTGTGTTTGGTAAGTGATAATTCACCATACACACCCCCAAATTCCTTAGCTGCTGGCAACTATAGGTCCAGAATCAATCTGGTTTAATTTCTCAAGGGAATATACTTATTTTCCTCTGCAAGGGTAAGGGACGGTAGCTGTGCATTACTTGAGAGGGGGCAGGGAACAGCATATATAATTGCTCCTTAACACAGCCTTAAGTACTCAATGTTTTCAATTCCTAAGCCTTTCCAGGAATCAGCTTGTTTCCCGTTGTGATTCTCCTATCTCTTCAGACACTTGGACTTTACATGCCTCTGCTCACTAATTCATTTATTTTCCTTATCTACTTTGTCCTTATACATTGTGGTTTTACATGTATTTTTGTTTCTTGTTCTCATTACACTGTATGATTTCAAGAGCAGAGGGGAACAAATACATCTTTTTTCATCACTTCAAACCCCCAAATTTCTTTTAGCAATGCAGATGCTTTTAAAATGATACAATGTTGCATCTACTCTATAAGAAAAAAATTAAATACTTAATGCTGTAAAGAATACAAAAAACTGTTACATTCAAACATTACTAGTGGCAGAACAAATATGTGTGTAAAATGTCTCTGGAAAACAATTTATCAGTACATATCAAAAGTCTAAGCCACTTATGGGGATTTATCCTAAGAGAAAGAAGATAAAAAAGCTATATTAAATATAGAATTATTTATATTGTAAGTTAATGAAAAACCATCAAAATTCCCAATAGTGGAAAAGCTTAATATTATAGTATATCAACAGAGTATGTTCACAATTTGCTATCTTTAATAATAATTATAAAATAAAAATAAGAATAATTATACAGCATAATGAAATATTTATTATATCATACTGGCTGATAAAAAAATTAGAATTTCACAGTAGCAGAACTAGGACCTCTATATATTGTACTGTTTCTTTTGTTATTACTAAAGCAATGTTTATGGAATAAATTAAAAATAAAAAAAGAATATGATTGAATGATATTTTAAAGCTGAAAGATTCTAAGAAAGGTCTCCTTTCTGCTGACCCAGTAAGACCAATAATTCTATCTGAGTCTTTAGAATACTGATTAAGGAACTTAAAATAGATGTGGTTTTATTTTTCTTTCTCTCCTTCCAAAGAAAAGGCACTCAGTGAATATGGGCCACAATAAGTTTCTGTGATGAAACACATGATGAATCTAAATATTACCTCCAAAAGACACTGTCCCCTTTGGGTCTACTTGCACTTGCTGTCTCAGGGCTTGGTGTTGTTCCTTTGTGGGCTGAATACCAAGATAATTTAGAGCCTGGAAGGAAAAGGATTCATGTGAAGCAATATTTCAAATCTCCAAAGAATAAAACTTTTCATTACAACTTTATTTTACAATCCAGTGAAAAGAATCAATATCAGGAACAGTGACCATGATCAAAGAAAGTCTGATGACTATTTATGGGTTAATTTTCCATAAAATATTAGCTTCTTGATCTACCACCACCTCATTTTTTTCCCCCAAGGCTAGCACTTTGGCCGATGCCAAATAGCATATCCCTAGAACCAAAATTCAAACTATTTTTTAGTTTAAAATATGTGACATGGCAGAAGAAAAACAGCAAGGAAATCCTAATAAATCCGATTTAACATTAATTTTTCTAAGTAGCACTCTAAAACACTGATATTTTGTTGATATCTTCTTGTATTTGAGACCAAAACTAAGGATGACAGGAATTGGTTGGAATACAAAAAATTCTAAGTTTTGGCTTGTTTATGGGCAGGCTTACATAAATAATAAACTAAAAAGCTTTCTCTGGAACCCTCTTCTCTCTACCTTCTCTTTTTAGTACCCATAGCTAATTAAAATTTCAGAGCCTGCTAGTTGTATTTCAGTGTCCATTCTCTCCTTATTCTTTAGTAACAGAACCAAAATCTTTAGCTAGAAACATTGTCATTCAGCTAAAAGATATTTCCCAGCCCGTTCTGCAGCTTGATAAGGCCATCTGACCATGTACTACCCAAGGAGACATAAAGCGAACTTGCAGGGAACTTCTGGTAAGTCTTTCAAAAGTGGGGTAGGTACTTCTTGTCCCTTTTTTCCTTCTCTCTTTGGTCTTAATTAAAAGAAAAAAAAAGATGAAAGAAGGAAAAGAAAAGAAAGGAGGGAAGAAAGAAAAGATGGCTGGAATTTAAGTAGTCATCTTGGTTCATGAGCCACCTCAACAAAGATGGTGGAGCAGAAAGACACTTAAAAGCATGTATAACCTCCATGCCAGCTCTGGATTACTTTCTTTCAGGTTTCCTTTTGGTGTAAGAAAAATAAATTTCTAATGGAAACCACTGTTATTTTAGGTTCTCAGGTTATATATAGCAAAATCTAATCTTAACTAATGAATAAGGACTGACTAGATGCCCTATTATCGGATTCTGGCAAGAACATCAAAACTAAAATGTAGGTAAAGGTTAATACTAGTAATTGTCCTTATATATTCCTTCCTCCTTTGAAATCTGTTCAGTCATCCATCACTTCATTTACCAAGTATTTATTTAGTGCTTACTATTTGTTAGGCACTAAACTATACAAAGGGATACAAACAAGATATAGCCACTACCCTCAAAGAGCTACGGTCTCTAGGGAGAGGATAACATGTAAATAAATGTAATTAGTGCAATATGTAATTTAATAGAAGTGTGTACAGGATGTACTGTGGCAAAACCAAACTGGTCAATGTATAGGTGGCTGGGCACAGTGAGAAAAGGAGACAGAAGGAAGGGAAAACATCAGGAAAGATTCCTTCAAAAGTGATTCTAGAGCATTTTAACCAAGCATCATCTGCCTGCCCTATCTACACAGTCATTGCCTTGCATAACATGGAATAATGATTCTTAACTTTTGATATTCTTTTTTTTTTTTTTGCGGTACATGGGCCTCTCACTGTTGTGGCCTCTCCCGTTGCGGAGCACAGGCTCCGGATGTGCAGCCTCAGCGGCCATGGCTCACAGGCCCAGCCGCTCCGTGGCATGTGGGATCTTCCTGGACCGGGGCACGAACCCGTGTCCCCTGCATCGGCAGGTGGACTCTCAACCACTGCGCCACCAGGGAAGCCCAACTTTTGATATTCTTTTCCTTCAGTCATAAAAAATGTTCCAAATACACCAAAATAAATAAATAAAAGGAAAGAGAATAATACAAAGAACACCCATTTACTTTTTATCATCAAGTATATACTCATTAGTATTTGTTTGAAATTTATATATATATATATTTTTTAAGAAATAAACATTATAGACTTGGTTGAAAGCTTTCTCCATTGTTTCTCAGCAGGAACCACTATCTTAAGGTTGGCATATCCTTCCTGTCCATGATTTGATGCCACTACTACATTTGTCCCCTAATAACATGTACTCTTTTATCAGTACATAAAAGAGTATTTTGTACATTTATGATTTTACCTGCATAGTATAATAAAAAAGGATAATCTTACAAATTATTTTTATTTTTTACCTCAATGTTACAATTTCACAATTGCTCGATATTGTTAACTGCAAAACTACTTCACTTATTTTAAATTTAAATGGTATCTAACTGGATGAATATATTATAATTTATTATCCATTCTCTCATTGATGGGCTTTTTATAATTACTCCACTCTGTTTTTTATAATAAGACATTTTACACATCTCCTCATATAGATGTGTAAAAATTTCTCTACAGTACACCCCTACAACAGGAAATGCTGAGTCATAGTGTATATATACTGTCAAATTTCTTAGATATTATAAAATTGCTCTCCAAACTGGTTGTATCAATTTATGCACAACACTAGTATATAAGCAGCTCTATTTTTCTGCATTCTTAACAGCATTTGCTGTTTTCACACTTTAATTTTTGTCAATACGTTGAATATGAAATAGTATGTTGTTTGTTAATTTGAATTCTCCTAACTACAAGTGAGATTTAGCTTCTTTTATATGTTTATCAGCAATGTTTTTGACATAAATTATTTAGCAATATGTTTTAAATTTTCATATGTAAAGCTTGAGGAAGTACTTTTTGTTAGTGATTCCTAATTTGGTGGCATTCTCCCAATTGTAAAAACCCAAAATGTCCCCAGACATTGCCAAATGTCCCCTGAGGCAAAAAATGTCCCTGATGATGTCCCCACATCCCTGCTTTTGAGAACCACTCCTCCAGAGACAAACACTATTAATTGACTGGTGTATAATTTTCCTGATTTCTTCTATGTATATAACACCTGTATATGTAAAAAAATAAATTATATATCTTTTGCAAGAATTAAATTATACTACATACAGTATTCTATGTTTTTTAAAAAATTATCAATATATAACAGCCTTCTATTCTGTACATTTTAGATATTTTGCATGCTTTTAAAACTTGTTATAATAGTAAATTAAACCTTAGTATTTAAGTATATTTACTTCAGATATTGAATGTAACAAAACATTGCAAAAGCCCCTTCTGTACTTCTTCCCAAGTATTTTGTTATATATTTGAAATATACTAAAAACATACATGTAACAAATATATGTTTTAAAACGTCCATGAATCCATTTAAGAATTACAAAATTGCTAATACTATTGATTTATGTAACATACTCCTATCCTACTATACTAGAGGTAACCACTACTAAGGAACTATGTCATTATAATTCCCATACTATTTACTTTAAAATGGTTTGTCACATACTATGTATCCTTAACATGTTTTTTTGTTTTGCTGTTTCTTAGCTTCATTAAAATGCGACTGATAGTCTTCTAAAACTTGGTCTTCTTACCCTACAGGATTGTTTTATCATTCATCCACGTGGTTATATGGTATTGTAATTAATACATTCACTTTAACTGATCTAATATTTGATTAGATGAATATGCCACAATTTATTAATCCATCCTCCTCTAGATGAACATTGGGGTTTTCTGCTTACCAGCAATGAACATTCTTGTACACATCTACTACAGCACATGGGTAAAAATTTCTTTGGGGTAGGAAGAAATTCTAGGAATTTCTTCCTACCCTAGGAATAGTATTGACACATCTTTTTCTGATTTATTTCTAGGAGTTCTTCATATATTCTGGATACCAAAATTGTATATGTTATGTGCATTACGAATATTTTCTCCCACTTTTTGGCATAACTTCACTTTCTTACAATCTCTCTTTATGCAGTTTCTCATGGATATTTCCCAAGTGTGCTTTTATACCATTACTTCACATTTTTATAAATATATGTGATGAATAGTATTAAAAAATATTTTTAAGTTTTAATTTTTATATAAATGGTACCATACTCTATATATCAATATGACTTTTTAAAAAAAAATAATTAATTAATGTATTTATTTATTTTTGACTCTGTCGGGTCTTCGTTTCTGTGCAAGGGCTTTCTCTAGTTGCGGCAAGTGGGGGCCACTCTTCATCGTGGTGCACGGGCCTCTTACTGTCTCGGCCTCTCTTGTTGCGCAGCACAAGCTCCAGACACACAGGCTCAGTAGTTGTGGCTCACGGGCCTAGTTGCTCTGCGGCATGTGGGATCTTTCCAGACCAGGGCTTGAACCCATGTCCCCTGCATTGGCAGGCAGACTCTCAACCACTGCACCACCAGGGAAGCCCCAATGTGACTTTTTATTAATAACAGATATACTGAGATATAATTCACAAAAAGTTCACTGTTTTAGTGTACAGTTAAGTGGCTTTTAGTACATTCACATAGTTGTACATCAATCACCTAATTCTAGAAAATTTTCATCACCCCTAAAAGAAACCCCATACCCATTAGCAGTCACTTGCTATTTTTCCTTATCCCGCCAGCCCCAGGCAACCACTAATCTATTTTCTGTCTATATGGATTTGACTATTCTGGGCATTTCATATAAATAGAATCATGTAACTTTTTGTGCCTAGTTCCTTTCACTTAGCTTAATGTTTCAAGGTTTGTTTATGTTATAGCATATATCAGAACTTCATTCTTTTTACGGTCCAATAATAGTCCATTGTATGTATGTACTACATTTTGTTTACCTTTCTTAAGTTAAAAAAGGTGAACCAAGAATAAAATTAGAACAAGATATTATTATAAAAATACTAGGTAGAAAATAAATTAGAAACTCAGTGGTTATGTGACTGAAATAGCAGGTGACTGCAAAGAAAGACTGTGAATCAGAAAAAACAATGAATCACTAAAGCTAAAATACTGGGCAATAAGAAGCATGTAAGTTCGGTAGAGGCTAATCAGAGTTAAAGTATTATAAGCACCTTGTATATTTGAAAGAAGGGTAAAGATTCTGATTA